TTTTGCCACTTTTGGTGGAGTTAAATTAAACTCTTCGTCAAATCCATCTCTTGATTTTTCAAATACACAGAATTAAAAAAAATAAAGTAAATAATGACATATAATGACAGATAGTACTAACAGCGGCTACTTCATTTTAAATTTTTTATTGGGAATATAAATAGGTATATGTTTGGTTGTCCACACCACAGGTCACTGCCAATCACAGAGCGTTTAATTAACTTATGCAAGCAATGTATGTTGTGTTGCCTATTATGATATCGTTCATTAATAGAAAATCATTCATTTATAGGGGTCATTAATCAATGATTTTAAGGGTGTTAAAATTGATCATAAATGGACTGTCGACGGGAAAAGATCTTTAAGATGACATAAAATAAGTCTACAATAACTCATTTATTTATTATGGTACACATTTTTGAAAATTATCTTTTAAACAAACCTCCTGATAATAACAAATAATAAAAAAAAAGAATTATCTAATTTGGTGTCGTTGTTTTAAAGTGATGCCCGTATAAACATGTAGGTGATTCATATTTTATTAATATTAATAGATTTCATCTACATTATAATACAATATTATATCTGATACCTTTTGGAACGCTTTCTTTACGTTGACCAAACAGAAAATCACCAGCTTTTGACACTCTATTTATAATTTAATAAAATGTTGTTGTTTTATTTTGTAACGACAGATTTTGCTTACCTCAAGGTAAGAACATAGGGGTAGAAGATTGGTTACAGAAACAACTGGGGGTAGAGATAGGGTAAACAAAATAATCGAAACTGATGCGTACGACACTCAGGGGGTTGTTGGAGAGCTGGGTCGTGGATAAGTTGAAATAAATGGGTCGGATTGGGATATCTACAAAATGAAAACAAAGGGATATTTACATAAATCTTCTGGAACAAAAACGAAACAAGATATGGCAGACAAGTTTACCTCTAGCTATTTCTATTCGGACGCCGCTTCGAAGAAAACTTCCTGCTGGAAACAAGAAAATTTTTTCTTCACTAAAATCAAGAATAAATACAAGGGTTAGGAGACTTTTCTAAATTAAAATAAAAAATGGATCAGAGAAACAAATCAAACGTTTATTTTTGTCTTAAACAAACAGTTATCCAAAATACAGATTTTACAAAAACATACTATATAACCATAACACAAAATTAACAAAAACGTACGTGTTATCTGTTTACTAAGGAGATTGGTACAAAAATTTTCGAAATGGTTCCTAGGTTATTTATTAATATGGCCAAATTAGAATGTTAAATTAAGGATATCCTTGTAAAAGAAAATATCTTAAAATTTAACTTATATATGAAATATCTTTTATATCTAATAATCAAATTAAAATTGTTTTACAACAAACACGGATTAGAGCGAAAATGTCATATGTCAACACAACATACAGACAGAATAAATTATGACATTACGACATAAAACGTTAATTATTACAAATTTTTTATAATGAAAGCAATTATTAAAAATAATGCCTATTTGACTTGGAAAAATTAATATATTGAATGTTACCTTATTTCACATATTGCACTTAACAAAAAAGACTTGTTACATCTCTGGAGTATCTATCTGGACCTATTCTCAAAACTGGAACAAAAGGAAACCATTTCCATACTCAGGTACGACAATCGAAGACGTGAATAAGATTCGGTGGAGGAAGCAAGCTGACAAACAAAACGAAAGCTGGTGGGAGACATCCTATATACTGCTTTTCAAAATTCCATTAGTTTCGGTGTACTGCACAAATCTTATGGTTGTTACTCTGTCCTAACATGCCATTTTCGCAAAGAATAAATCAAACCGTTCACCGGTCTTGAATTTAAGACATTACACAAAAAATCGGCAATGGATTCAAAATCCGCCAAACGTCTTATCTGCCTTCAGTTTTAAAATTTCAACGTAAATCCCAATTTCTTTTCACCTATCCGAAAAAAAAGCGCCTACAAATCTAAACAAACAATATCCCTTCTTGACCTCGTTCGTAACAACCAATGACGTATAATATATAGACTACGCAGTCCCCTATTCTCGCTATAGAATCGAGTGTCCGAAAGATCTCGGCTCAAGGTTGAAGGTATGTTTATCACAACAGCGGCGTGTTCATTTATATTTTAATGACAATAATTATTTTTTTAATTAAAATTAAATATTTATGATTTCTTTTTGTTCCCATCTATAAGAGAAATAATTATTTTGATAAAATAGTATGGCATTTTACTAAAATAGTAAGTAAATAACTCTCAACAATTTAAAATAAAATTTGCTTGTCACACAAAATGGAGAAAATGTTTTCATACGTCCATGATGTTTTCAAACACAAGATCAACTTCGTGATGCTTCGTAAGAAATCATGAACTTCGTGTATCTTCGTATCAAAACAATAAACAATAACAAAGGTATTCATGTTTTGGACACTTTTTAAAGGGTTCACCGAGTCTATATATTATACGTCATTGGTAACAACGAACCGACAACAAAAACATCTTTAAATATTTACTTTTAAATCGGTAGAAAGAACATCTACGAATTGGGGGATTTTGAATGTAAACAAATCGTTTTCAACGACAAAAACAACTATATTTTGCCCTATCTCGTCAAAAAAACTTGAAATATTCTACTTTTAAATAGTTAGAAAAAACACGCATTTTATTGATTATTTTAAACGTCCTCGTTTCCTAGTTTTAACTGGAATAATTTTCTACCTGACAATGTAACAGAGACAAAAACATATTGAAACAACTGAATACAAAACTTAAAACAGAATTTATACTACAGTGGAACCTGCTTAATTCGAACTTCTCTAATTCGAAATATTCTTTCATTCGAATTTTTATTCTGGTCCCTAGCATTTTCTATATAAGTAATGGTAAAAGGTCGTGAATAATTCGAATTATATTTTGGATAATTCGAACTCCTTTAATAACTAAAATGCCAATTTCATGCTGGAAATTTCCGCCAAAAAAATGGGGTAGTATTCCTTCCTGTCCTCACGCGCCACTTGTTTCAAGGCATTTCATTGTACATTGTACTCGTATCTGGCACCTAAATTCTCCCCTACCCAGCATGCCCCTTTAGTAAACTTCGAACATAGAAAACTTTGACGTTATCTGAAAAAATAGCGGTAATTAAAGAAGTAGAAAAGAGGAAAAAGAAAAAATCTGAGACTGTCAAGGAATTTGGAATTCCTTTAACACAATGATAAATTATACCTACTTCCTCAAGTAGGTGGGTATACCTACTTAAAGATTTAAGAAAAAAATCTCAAGAGTGAAAGTGAGTGAAAATCCAAATGTGTTTGATAATGGTTTAAACAAGCTAGGGATAAGGAGATTCCCGTTAGTGGTTCCCTTATAAGAAGCAAAGCTGAACATTTGTTGTTAAAATGAGGAAAAACAACTTTAATGCGAGTACAGAGTGGCTAGAGGGTCTCCAACGCAACAAAAAATTTATTCAAATCCATTTGTGGAGAAAGTGTGGCCGTTAATCAGCAAGAAGCCAACGAATGGAAAAAAGATTGGAGGAGATGATCCAGGATATAGAAGAAAGAGATATCTTCAATGTTGACGGGACGGGTCTTTTTTAAAAAGCACTCCTGCCAAAACACTGGCATTGAAAATTGAAAAATGTCACGGAAGAAAACTTCGTTTTTCACTTTCGTCACGTGACAAAGAAAGAGTCACTCACCTAATTGGTTCATGGACGGATCAGAAGTGCTGCCTCTATTGATGATTGGCAAGTCGGCTAATCCGCGTTGTTTTAAGAACGTCAAGTCAAAACCAGTTAAATACGTGAGTATCGCAAGAGCTTGGATGACTAGGGATCTTTTCGAGAAATGGCTGATAAAATTAGACAAAAAGTTCATAAAAGGAAAAAAAGTTAGTTTGTTTATTGACAACTGTACGGCCTACAACACTATCCCACTAATTAAAAATGTAAAAGTTACTTACTTCCTGCCAATATGACTTCAGTTCTCCAGCCTATGAACCAGGGCATCATAAAAAATCTTAAACATTTTAATAGACGTTTATGGTTGAAAACATATTGACGGAAGATTGCAACTCCCTTAAAATAAAGTCATTCTTCAAGTCTCTCAAATGTGTAAGAAAGCTTGGGAGAAAATAACACCCAAAACGATCAAACACTGTTCCAAAAAATCTGATTTCGTAAAAAAAGAGGAAAACGCAGAAACACTAACACTTTACACTAGACACTTTAACAGAAGAGCTGCTTTCAGTTGACGGCTGGGAGGACGTAATTTCTGATGCTGTCATATCTTATGAAGATGTGGATGACGATGTTGCAGTGCAGGGGAAACAACGAACCATATTGCTCAAATTGGACGGTACTTTCAAAGTAAAAATGACGTAAGTCACTCTATCTTTAGTTCACCTTAGAATACCTTAGAATCTATTGTCATTGCCAAGAAGCTAAATTCTAAAAATCAGCTGAAAATTTCGGATTTCTTTGGAAATAAATAAAGTCTGTCTTTTTTTGTTAATTGTAACAAATGTCCTTATTTTCAATAATTTTTTTAAGACAAAAAGTTTTCATTATTTTAATAGTATGTTCTCACTGGGCGATTTTTATCAGCCATGATTTGGCCGCAAATACTGATGAGAACACTGCTATAATGACAATAATTGACCATTTTTTATAACTTACAGATGTTTTAATTGGTATTCTTGGCCGAATTTTGTTAGCCAATTTTTTTCGATTGACAAAATTCGGGCATAAATAGGAACGAAAACATCAGAAAAAGTGTTGATTTGTATCGTTTGCATATGTTTTTCTAGGTATCACTGTTTTTTTGTAGATATATTTTTAATTCGAATTTTTGGATAATTCGGATTTTTCGATAATTCGAATTTTTTAAACGGTACCCTGAGATTCGAATTATCCAAGTTTCACTGTATTATATAGATTTTAAATATAAAACGTTACAATTTATTAAAGTATTATATTACTGTAATAATTTTAGGCTCCTCAAAAAAATGAAAAATGGGAAGGCGTTTGGGATGCAACTAAGGATGGATCAGAATGTGTGCAAAGACTATTACCCATTCAAGGTTCAGAGGATTGCTTATATATTAATGTTTATACGCCTGATGTAAGTACTATTGTGTAAGTCAAAATCAAAAACAAATTGTACTTTATTATTTTTAAATAAAAAGGAAAATAATGTTTAAACACTTTACGGAAATATAGACAAAAAAATGTCTTTCTGGGACGTTTAAAATTTTTATTTCTAGCTGACCGCTTTCGCCCTTAACTCATTTAATGCCGAAACTTTTGTCTTTCTTATATGGATAAGATATTTCATTTTTAAGCTTATTAAGGTTGGCACAAGTAAAGTATGAAAGGAATTTTGCAAAAATACGGTATATTTTTCAAAAAAGCGCGTCCTTTTAAAAGCTCGGTGGCATAATCATTGATTGTGAATAACAAATAATTAAAAGTACCAAAATTTGAAAACTACCATTTTTTTTATTCTAATTATTTCAATAAATTAAAATAAAAAAATCTTAAATATCTATTTTGTATGTAATGCGTCATTATATTTATTGCAGCAAAAATTATATTTTTGTAACAAGCAACACAACGAGTTTGAATGTCCTTATAGACAATAAGGTGGTCCATCCGATCGTATCTTGAGTAACTATGCAAATTGACTAAAGGTTTGCTGAGTCTTCTGTTTGTTGTCTTTTTAAAAGATTTAACAATGCCTACTGTAATTGTGCGACGATGCTGTAAATGATCCATTTTACCACCACCAATTCTATGCAGCTGCCAGGCAGTTTGTTCTACGAGATCCACTTTGTGGCTTATTATGGAAAAATACCAATTCTTTTCACAGAAGGCTACTCTGTAGTAGCTAATATTTTCATCTCCCCGATCGACGCCACCTATGTTTTCATTATACTGTTTGTTAATATTTGGTTAATCAACGAGCACCTTCTTTTTTCTTATTATGAAGAAATAGTTGTCAAAATATATATCATAGGGTAATTTTGAAGTTTTGCCTTCTAGGGCATCAACCTATTGTAAGACAACACTAGGTCCCAAACCAAGAAGTTTATATTTATCTTGAGCAGTGGTTGAAGATCTGTGATATTGATTAAATCACTCCACATAACCTAACCTAGTAGTCTATCTACTCGAATCTAAAACTTATATCTCCATCTAATTAGTTTACCACGAAGTAACTGTTTGGATCCATGTTTTCCATAATACGGAACCATTGATCCATCCAAGCTATGGTGTTCTTCTTGTGTTGTTAAATCGAGAAATTTTTTATTCATTAGATCAATCAGTAATCAATACATATATCGCCTAGAAACACTCATAGTTTGTTGTAATAGGTCCTTCTCGGTTATGTTAATTGGCGTACATATTTAAAAATTC